ACTTGATTTTTCTAAAAAAAAAAAACCCTATTGATTTAAATCATCTTAACGCTCTGAAATGTTGTACTTTTGCAATTTTAGATAAAATGAAAGATGGTCTAACTTACAAATTAAATACAGGTTGCACCTTCGAACACTGGCACTCTCTGGTCCGGCAACATGTGTGGAGCAGAAGGATCGTGGATGCTCCTGGACCAGAGAGCCCAGCAACCTAAGGACAGAAGAGCCAGCCAGGGCCGGGGGCAACAGGGCTGGCAGCCTGGATTGGGGCAGCACAGCAGCACAAGGTCAAAGCTCAGCGGCAGCCCCTGGCAGTTCTCAGCAGCATGGGGCCAGGACCAGAGCCCCCAGGAGTCTGCGGCAGCTTGGGGCCAGAGTTCCGCCGCTCCTGAGGCTGAAGCTGGAGCCTTGTGGCAGTGTGGGGCCAGAGTCCTCGGGCAGCCTCCAGGAGCACGGGGACAGGGCTGGGGCCCCGCGGTAGCTCATGGCAAGCAGGGCTGGAACCCCATGTCAGGAGCCAGAGCCTGGGCTACCCAGGGAGCCAACAGCAGCTGGGTGAGGAGCCTAGCCAGTCTGAGGGGTGGAGAGAAAGGGCAGGGCTCCTGCTGGGGAAACCTACCAGCAGCAGGCAATGAATTTGGGGGCCGTTGGGGGCCCTAATATGAATCAATTTAAATAAAATATACATTTTAAATCAATGTTGCTGATTTAAAAAAAAAATCATGATTCTTATCCATCCTTCTGTGATATATGTAGAAAATCATAAAAAGAAAAGGCAGAGGGGGTCTGATTCTTGTCACGAATTTCTCTTTTCCTGTCAGAATTGGTGGAAAGTAGCCTCTGTGTAAACAAAACTCATGCTGAGATGAATATACAAAGTGGTAAGTACTAGCTTTTAGGAGAAATCCAGAACAGGATGTTGGAATATTTCAGGAGCTGAACATAGATGGAGGTCTCATATGTATATGAGATTATTAATTGTAGGACTATGATGGAAAAAATTAAGAATCAAAGAAAATAATAATTGAGCTATGTTGACAAGATGGACTAATATAAATTCATCATCATAGTGATTATACAAAGAAAATCCACTGGCACTGGTGAAGCATATCTGCCTACCATCAAAAATTGAGATGCAGCTTTATGAACATTATTTAAAACAATCATAGGACTCTAGCACAAAAACAGTAATTTCGAACATCTTTTCCTTGCTACCTGTATGCCAATTATGAACAAAACTGTGTACCAAAAAGCACTAACCAAGCAAAATTTATGGTAGTTTAACTCCACAGTCTGGCTTTAGTAACTAATACAATGTTTAATAGCTGCACAGCAAAATAAATCCTATGACGGCAACATTTTTTAAAAAGGTAAATACTGTATTTGCTATATTTGCCAGGTCTTCAGTCACAACCCAAGAATGTAGATCTTTCACCCATTCATTACAGAAAATACTGCTTCAGGGAAACTGCTTTAAACTGATTTATGTGGTAGACATCGAAAGACAACCCAGTGAAATTGGACAATATGGCAGATGGTAATGGATTTATGCATATTTATGTAGCATGTATTTACTTGTCAACTTTGTTATCCATCTTCCTTCCACTTCCCTCTCTCCTACCGCCACCCTCCAAAAAAGGGGGATAGTTGATTTATAATAACTGTGATGCTGTGGATGGCTGACACTCCCTTCACAGTCTTTTCCTTTGGACAGCCTAGAAACCAGCATGCTTTGTAAAGCTATTTTAATTGTTTTACAGTTTTATTACAACACATCCTGTCCGTTACACTTGTTTCCTGGGGCTATCGTAACAATGTTAGTTGCTACTGTTTATAACTATCTTGGGGTATCTGTTTTAAAATCAGTAAGTAGCTCAGCTGCATGATAACATTAATTTGCTTTTTGTTAATTTGACCTTATAAATAAGCAACTAACATACTAAGATAGAAGATGTACATCAAACAAGATGTCATCATTGGCATGCACTTTTTGCATTATCAGGCTTTTTGGTTCTTTTTCACCAAAACACCAAGCCTACTAGTTGTGAGATACTGTACATCTGTTCTGAAGCAATTAGAAATAAATAAAAGTAATACACACATACTGTATTTAACATACATAAGTGAAAGGTATGTATATAAAAAACAAGGTTCTGGTTTTAAAACTCATAAAATACCACCAAACATATAATACCACTATGTGATAATAGGCTTTTTAGAACAGAAACACTAAAATTAATCCAAATTTGAACATTTTTCCAGTATTTAAATTCACTTGCAGAAGGAGCAGCAAAAACAAAGACAAAAAAGATCAAAACCTAAGATCTCTAAATGAAGATAAAACAATATATTAAATTCTGGAAGCATTTATTCATACAAATAAAACTAATGTAAAAGAATGCCCAACCAAAGCTTTAGTAATTAATAATTCAGCTTTATGCCTGGTCTACAAACTTGCACTACTTTACTAAATACATATTTTAAAACTGAGTTTATTGCATCAATTCAAAAGCCTCTTTACACTCCCTTATTCTGATCCTACGGGTAGCTTATATCAATGTAGTTTAAGCTGATTGCTTATTGACTTAAGAGATACTGAGCTCATAAAATAAAAGGGTCTAGGAAGTGTTTTGCATCAGTTTAACTGAAAATCTATTTGCGAAGACAAGCTCTTAGACTATGTCTACATTAGAATTAAGTCAACACAAGTTATATCAATGATCATTAACAGTTATAATTATATCACTTGTGCACGTTCACACAATGTTTCTTGTGTTGGCAAAGCACATCCACAGTTGGTGCTCTAACATTCCACCATGCAACTTGCCACCTTGTAAAGTGAACACAATGTGTCTCAATGTTCCATGATGCAGCTTATGTCCCAACATTTCATGAGCTTCTGAATTAGTTTCATACAATTTTTCAGAAGCCCTTTTTTATTGTGTCCCAATAATCTCTGCCTGAAAGTATGGTCCTGCACTATTCTCTATTCTCATGGTCAATGTTATTAACAAAACATGACTGATCATGCAGTATATCACGAGGGCTGAATCTGAACAGGAATTCACGGTGCATGCCCTGCTGTGTGCCATACAAAAAACAATTCCAGATTACTTTTCATGGAGCCAGCGGTGGATTTTGGGCAGGGCGAGCGGGACGGCTGCCCCAGGCCCCGCGCTTGCAGAAGCCCCGCGCATACGCCGTGGCAAAGGAGGGGGGCCCACAAAATTGTGCTGCCCTGGGCCCTGTAGCGCTGCCCGGGGCCCCGCGGCACTCTCATCCGCCCCTGCATGGAGCGACTAAACACCATGGACTGTTGCTTTTGGGCTTAGGAAACAAGCACTTAGTGGTGGGATCGCATTGTTATGCCAGTCTCAGATAATGAGCACTGGCTGCCGAACTTTTGGATGTGCAAAGCCACCTTCTTAGAACTGTGCACAGTGTTTTCCTAGCATTGCAGCAAAACTACACTAAAATGAGAGCAACTGTCTTGGTGGTGAATTGAATGATGATCACTGTGTGGAAACTGGCAACTCCAGACTTCTACCAGTAAAACTGCAAATCAGGTTGGAGTGGAGGGGTGGGAAGGAGGGGTCCACCATGGGGCTTATGTTCCTGCAAGTGTGTAAGGCCATTGATCTCAGCCTGCTACTCAGGACTATGACTCTTGGAAATGTGCATGAAATAGTGGATGGCTTTGAAGCAATGGGAGTTCCTAAGTCTGAGTAACAGAGGGCATGCATATCCCAGCTGCGGCCCCAGAACATCTTGCAATGAAGTACATAAACAGAAAGGGGTACTTCTCTATGTTACTGAAAGAGCTTATATATCACCGGGGTCATTTTACCAATATCAGTGTGGGGTGATCTGGGAAGGTAAATGACACACGAATCTTGAGGAACAGAAAAGTTGCATGTACAGAAAGTTGTATGCAGGGACTTCGTCTCTTTCCAAGATTCCAATGAGGGATGTTGAGATGCCCATCATGATCCTGGGAGACCCATCTTACCCCTTACTGTCATGGCTCGCAAAGCCATACATGAGAAACCTAGACAGGAAAAGCAAGGAGTGCTTCTACACCGAGCAGATGCAGAATGCCTGCTGAATGTGTTTGTCAGATTAAAAGCTCTTTGGTGCTGCCTTTATGCAGATTGGACTTCTTTGAGAAAACTATTCTCATGGTCATAGCAGCCTGCTGTATACTACATAATATTTGTGAGGCCAAAGGTAAAACGTCTCCCAGGGGTATATGATGGAGGTGGATCATCTGGACACTGATTTTGAATAGCCAGATACCAGGACTATTAGAGGGGGCTATTCAAATCAGAGAGGCTTTGAAGCATCATTTTGACAATGTACTCCAGTAATGTGTCTTTCTATAAAGTATTCTGTCATCCTTTGTTAACTTGCTACCTAATATGAAAATGTTGATGACTGCTTCCTGTCCATGATTTCTAGTCTGCAAATGTACCAACTGCTTTTGTGTACTAATTCCAGCAGCAGCCGCATATGTAGGAGACAAAGATTATCTTTCAGAGAGTAATTTTTATTAAACAGCAATAAATATACAGAAAACACTTTGCTAAAAGGGACATGACACTGAGAGGAGTGCTCTCCTGATGGAAGCTCTCATAGTTGACTATAACTCCAGCTATCATTTAGGAAGCTGTCCAAAGGGGTTCAGTGAATGGGGTACGGGGGTGACCCAGGAATATGCAAGGGATTTGTGGAAGGAGTTTGTGGAGGGCATGGCAAGCAGCTCTGTCTGGGCTGCACAGAGGGTAGGGGGAGCATGCATGTGTTTGGCCTGCAGCGCAATTGGGGATGTCAACATTTCTGGTCAGTCCTCCATCACTTTTATTAGCCACTCATGGCCCGATGAAATTCACTCCCAATAAAATTTGCTTCCTCTTCTAGCTATCTATTTTTCATTGATTATCTCTCTCCACACCCCATGCTCTTGATCAGCCAGAGAACTAGAGCACCTCCTGAAACATTACCTTCTTGTCCCTCCTCAGTTGCGTCCTTATCTGTTGGCATTACTCTGCTTGTGTATAGCGGGCTCCCTTCAAGGCCACATCTGCAGAAACACAAGAAACAAAAGAATGACTGTTTATGTCCTCACAGCACTGAATCATCATAATAAAATACACCTCTCTCACTGTTGCTTTGCAAGCATACTGTTCAGCAACTACCCTAGAAATGACGAGTTTGGCCAGGGGGAAGGAGGGGTTCAAGATGGCAAGGGAGGAATGTGGCTTGCTTTTCATCCCATTCCCCGGACTATTAGGGAGTGAGGGGAAAGTACTTGCATTCCATGCATGCCTCTCACACCTGGCTGGTTAAAGGAGCTCACTAACTTTCCCCTCACTCGCTGATAGTCCAGAGAACGGGATGAAAAGCAAGCCACATCCCAGAGCGCATGGTTGCTGCCCCCCATATCCTCCCAAAATTCTACCCTTGCAAGATGGGGAAAAGGTCTAGCAGGCTTTTTAAAGAGGATCACTACAAAGACAAGGTACAATTTTTGTAAATTCTGCCACCATTTTCCACAGATGGTAGTCATTAAAGCTAATAGCTCACTCTTCAGGATACAATAGTGCATCTCTTGTCTATGTGCAGATTCAGACCAGGTCCCTATGCTTCTTGCTACTATGTGGCTTTGGTCCCGGCACGTTGCCGATTGGTGTAGGAAAGTTTTCCACACAGGGAAAGGAACAGAACAGATCTGCCAAGGAACCTTCAGCAAATGATTAGTGAGCAACTCCAGGAAAATATCCTAGGATTCTATTGGGAAGATTCCTGTGAAATCTTGATGTGCATGAACATACTGTTCCACAGGGCCCTCGCTGCACAACTGCATAGGGGAATGTGAAGTAGATGCAAACAAAGCTAGTTTTGTACATTTCTATCTCTTATAGACTCATAGGCTACGTCTAGACTGGCCACAAATTCCGGAAAAGGGATGCAAATCAGGTAAGTCAGCATAGGGAAATCCGCGGGGGATTTAAATATCCCCCGCGGATTTAAAAGAGCCAGGTCCCCTTCAGAGACCATGCACCCCAGAAACCCAGGGATGTTCCGTGCAGGCTTCAAGCTGTTCTAGTAATAGAAGCTCTTTGAAGATTTCCAGATCCCCACAACACTATGGTACTATCAGTCAGACCTCAGTACTGAAACACCCCAGATATTGCTGAAGCATAATAAGCCAGCGGACTCCAAATATTCTTTTTCACAGAAGCATGCTACATCTTCACACTCCTTATGGTTTGCTTAGATAATGGCAGTACTGATGACAGGCAATCTCTATTGTACAGGTACAGACATCTGGGATACTCTTTCATAGACTTTAAGGTCAGAAGGGACCATTATGATCATCTAGTCTGACCCCCTGCACAGTGCAGGCCACAAAATCTCACCCATCCCTCCTAGAATAATCCTCTCACCTATATCTCAGATATTGAAGCCTTCAAATACTTTGAAGACCCCAAGATGCAGAGAATCCTCTAGCTGTGATCTGTACCCCATGCTACAGAGGAAGGCGAAAAACCTCCAGGGCCTCTGCCAATCTACCCTGGAGGAAAATTCCTTCCCGACCCCAAATATGGCAATCAGCTAAACCCTGAGCATGTGGGCAAGACTCATCAGCCAGACACCCAGAAAGTTCTCTATAGTAACTCCTATCATCCCTCCATTGACCTATTTCCCACTGATAATGGGAACCCACTATTAACCCACTTCTAGCATATAAGAAAGCTCTACCTCCTATAATCAAGCCATATCAAATCAAAATGAGCACTTATGGAACACCACCTGCAACATCCATCTTGCTTGCCCCTCTGAGGTGCCTGGATCATACAGGGTATAGAAAGCAATAAAATCAGCATAGTCTTTGAAGCCTTGACAGAAGGACCGGATATGCTGGCTGCTGTGACCCTGGATGGCTGTAAACAGAGATACGCCAATTGCTGACCTAGAGGCTGCGAGAACTGCTTTGGCTGGCACCTATATTGATACGAACACACAGCCGTCCTCGGTGGGGGAGGGGGAAAAATCGCCTGCTGAGCAAAGAATGCCCAGTATTCCCAATTTAGTTATCTCTCTTACAAGTGTACATTAAGTTCACAACTCCCTTGTAAGAGCTGGCATCACAAAGATGGACCAGCACCATTTGGCGCCATATATAAGGAAGAGAATACGTGACCCAACGGGTATAAAGATGGGTCCAGCAGCACACTCACTCTGAGTGTCAATCTACAATCTACCTGCTGGTCGGGTTAGGTTATTGCCTCCCGAGGTCCACATGGGGACGCCCAGCCTCGTATTAGTCTTTCCCGGGGAATTGAGGGACCGATCCTGGCCTGACATGCTGGAATCAAGGGACGCAGAAGGGGGTAAAAATTGTACCTGTATGTGTCCTTTTGTTTTAGTGCATGCATAGAATAGAGCTCGTTAAAGATTAAGCTGTCACTTAGTACCGTTACTTTCTATCTTCATTTTGTTTTTTTTTCTTTTGTAACCATTTTAAGATCTGTATTTGCTAGCAGTTAAGAAATAGAGCAATAGCCACTGTAACCACATGCTTCAGAAGTCTCTTTAATAAACCTGTAACTGTTTAAGCTTTAACCTGATTCCTCCTGTTGCTGTAACAGAACCAGACACAATTAAAAGAACTCCAGCCGGTCATAGGGGCAGACGCAGTGAGATCTGGGCGTTTGGATCGTGTCGCCTCCAGGGGACAGATCCGTGGGGCACCTGCCAGCCTTCCCTAGGCTGCCCGCTGCGAAGGGACCGTGTGTCCTAAGAGTTGAAGTCTTGGGTGTAATAAGCTCTCCCTGCAAACTCTCAGGGCACCCGTCAGCCTTTTACAGGCTGCCCACTGCAAAGGGACCCCGGTCCTAGCAGTTGAAGACTCGGGTGTGTAACACACACACCACACACTGCCCTGACCACCGGCTGACAATTTACCAGACCTCCTCTTTCCTGCATCATGAATGCCAGAACTGGAGTGCTGGGACTGGCTTGATCCCTCTGAGGTCAAAAAGAGATCCTAGCTCGTCACAGTATTAGATGGCCATCATCTGTCCTAGCTCAACATCCAACTCAAGCTCCTTGTCCACTACTTCATCCTTAGGGTTCAGTCCAAGGTCTGCAGTTGCCAGCCTCCTTGAAGTATCCAGGAGGCAGGAGAGGTGGGGTTGCCACTGAGGATGGCATCTCACTCCTTACAGAAGTAGCAGGTAGAAGTGCAGCACCAGAGTGATGATTTGAATTCTGCCTTATCCCTTGCCTTCTGTTATACCTGCCTCAGCTCCTTTCTCATGACATAGCACTGATGCATGTCCTATTTGTGCCCCTATCCAACATGAGAAGTCTTCCTGTAGGTATCGAAGTTCCTATGGGTAGAGAGAAAGCTGAGTCTGCACAGCCTCCTCTCCCATCAAAGCCAGCAGATCCAACAATCCTGGCATATTCTAAACAGGAAATTGTTTAGTGCATGGAACTGCTGCTGTCGGCTGGAAAGACGTGATGTGAGGTCTCCACAACCAACAAACAGGAAATGGAATTTCAAATATCCTGAGTTCTTTAAATGGGAAGTTCTTCAAAGGGTAAGGGTGAATGCCTCTGTATCTGGGTGCAGGGCAGTGGAATTCCAACTGCTGACCAGAGCGGTCAAGATAGGCATTGTGCAACATCTTCTGGAGGCCATAACCAAGCGTGGTATCTACACGGACACTGTATCAATCTAATTCTGCCACAAAAAGCTCCATGCCTCTCACTGAGGTGGTTTTATGTTGTCAGCATAACAGAAAATTTTAATTGGAAAGAGGATCTTGCTAATGTGTACATCCAGGGCTGTTCTTAGGGGATGAGGGGCTTGTGACAACTCCTCCTCCCCACCCCAGGCCCTGGCTTGCCTCTTCTCACCCCTCCTTCGCCATCACCCTGTCCCCACTCCACCCTTCTAGCAACGCGACCGAGGGGCCTGGCATTGGGCGACAGCATGGGTCGACTTCCCCACACTCACTGCAGCAGTAAGAGCCATAGAAATGGAGTGACCCAGAAGCCTGCTCCGGTCTGCCCACTCCCAGCCAGTTTGCTGTGCTTCACCATAGTGGCAGGAAGTGGAACAACCAAGGTCAGTACAGGCAGAACAGGGCCGGCCCAAAACATTTTGGCACCTGAGGCGAGGAGCTCAAATGATGCCCCCATGCCTCCTCGCTTGGGCCAAAACTTTGAAAGGTCTCAATTCTGCCTTCTTCCTGTTCTACTCCTCTCATGGCACTCCACCATCTCTGTGCATCTAGAGCAAAGAGAATACATATGCACCAGCAACAGACACAACTTTCTACACTCTGGGTCCTAGTGGTGCCCCCCACAGTCTGACACATGAGGCAGCCGCCCCAGTTCACCTCATGGTAAGGCCAGCCCTGAGGCAGGGGCCCAACCTCTGCTGCCTCCTTACGCTAGGCCCCCCCAGATAACCCCCAGCCAGGAAAGAACCAGATTAAGGCCCAGTGCAATATCAGGTACCACACCTGTGAGTAGAGTCTGTCCAAAACCCACTATAGGATCACCAATGAGGATT